CCAGCTACAACTTCGGTACTGCCGCATCCAATGGTCTGTCCTCAGGAATGAGTAGTGGAGGCGGCAAAATGAGAAGGGAAAGAGGATTACACTATTTATCCAGATGTGTACAAGAAAAGGTAAGTGACTCTTAAATTAATTGCTGTGACTGAGATTGCTGAAGTCAGTAGCTAAGTGTGTCAGTTTTATTGCATCATAGTACATTATAATAATACCTCTTTAGTTTTGCATGATGTTTTCCTGGGGGTTTCAGAGCAGGCTCAATTGATTTACTGTGTTTGAATGCCTGAACTTTGCTTACATAATTTTGAAATTTTTAGTTCTGCTACTTTGGAGATTCTTCGAACTATAACGTTTCTCATTTGCAATTGAACGCGTGAGTCCTAAGAACAGAAGTAATGTTTTGGTGAAGGTTTGTGTAGTTTTTATACAGGAATGATACTTGACATGAGTGCCAAGTATAAAAAGAAAGAAAAAGTTTAATTTTTGGTTTCATATTTAAGTCGTATAAAAAGATACAGGCCAAGAGTTTGAAAAAGAGTAGTAGGAGACAGCATTCTGCGTGTCTGCTAATGATGACTCAATTTTTGAGAATCACCAAACTCCTTGTGAGAGTTTTTTCTCATTTTAATCAGAAAAATCTATTCCATAAAACTGTGACCGTGAATATTCGGATTATTTTTTCTTTTATTGGATGTTATGTGAGGTGCCTGTAAGTTAATTTAAATACTTAATAGTAACGTAAATATTTAATTAATACTAAGTTAATGTTAAGTATTTAATTTAAAGTATTTACAATTAAATAGTTTTAATTTAAATGTTATTTATTAATTAAAGCATTTAATATTTAATATTAAGTATTTAATTTAAGTTTAAAAACATTAAATGGGACATTAAATGGTCCAAACATGATCCAAATATCCTAAGTTCCATAAATTTTTCAAATCAAAACAGTGAAACAGACGTAGGCTGCCTTATGCACTGAATATCAGTAGTACCTCCTTACGTCCCTGCCTAGTCATTTCTAAGTAGATCGTGATAGTACTGTTGAAATTTTGATCAGATTGTCTATGTCATTTAAAACATAACTCATCCAATCTTAGTAATCAAATAAAGTAAGTGGAAGGGATAAAAATGGAAGTTTTGAAAACAGCATTTTCTGACTTTTGCATTTGTGTCCCGATACATGGTATGGGCTGTATTTACCAGAATAGAGTCTTCAGTGCTGCTAATCTGACTTTCTTTGGTGCTTTTTGTGTTTAGGTTGGTTGTTGAAGCTACCTGCTTCTTGAAACATGACCTTTTTCCACGTTCACTGCTGTAGTGACTTTAGAAACTTTGGCAACCCTCCTGCCTAATTTTGCAAGAGGAACGCTTTCTCATTTGTCTTGAGAGTGTACTCTTAATTGAAGAGGTGTGAGGGTAGTTAGAAAGGATGATGCTTCTCTAGAGCTCTGATGACCAAAGTATAGGAAAGGAAAAGAAAAATCTGATCTGTGCCTCTTTGTTCTGCACAGGTTTTGAGTTAACTTTCAGTGTTCTTGCTGTACAGTTGTTGAAAGAAGGGGAAGGAGCTGGGGTATGTACAGGGTTATGGCATTCGTCTTTCCAGGTAGCCATTACTGTGATGAGTCATTAATGGCACCTCAAATTTAACAACTTCTTTGTTTCCAGTTCTTTTCCCTGTTCCACTTGAAGGGAGTGAGCGAGTGGCTGTGTGGTGCTTAGTTGCCTACAACGGTTAAACCACAACTTTATTGAAGTTATTAAATTAGAGGTAATGTGGTCGTATAAGCCTTGCATAGAATGAGCCTAGGGTGCAATAATTGGCATATTATTGCAATAAAATAAACATCAATCTGTTCCAGAGCAATTGAAATATTTTTGTATGGTTTGAAGTAGGTAGCTGATGTAATACGTTGAGGTGTTTGCTGAAGTTCTTGGAGTATCATTGGGCTGAGTTTACCGTTCTTCAGCTTCCTGGTTTGCTTTTCCATGCATTTAGACCTAAGTAGCATCTCCAGCTTTTCCTCTGGGTTTCTGGAATTTGGTTGTGAAGATTTTGTCCTATACCCACTAGGAAACTTGACTTTGTTTTATTACTACTTCTGTCTGCAAAATAACTGAAACATCAAGCTTTTCAACGTCACTGCAGGATTTGTGTTGTGTAGTGAATTCAGGTAGTTGCTGCTCTTAAATGTAAACCTTGAATTCTTTTGAAAATACAGATACAGCCAACAAGTAGTGTTAGCAGTCTTGTGTTTGGATTTTCATCTCTAACTGTGAAGTCTACGGAGGCAGAAGTGCTATCTACATTTCCTGTAAGTAAATAAAGAAGCTAGACTTGTTTTCTTAGGCATTTAGTAGGCTGTTGCAGAACACTAAAGCTGAATCTGCCTTGATGGAGAGAACTATGTAGGCTTCTGGCTTATAATTTGTCATTCAGCATGCATGCTACAAATGTGAAGACCAGCTTTCAGATTTGGTTTTGTGTATGCATTTGATTGACGTTCCTGTGGCTCTGAAAAACCTCTCTTGTTCATAGCAGATTGGGTTTACATTTAGTGTTCCCGTTGTAAAATCATCAGAGCTTTCTGGATCCAGTGATACGCCCGTGACGTCCTTTCTTACCCTAGGTAACTGAAATCTTAGCACTTCACATCTGAAGTGCTGATTTTTCTTATCTTCTTTATTAAATCTTAAACCTGTCCTGTCTGTGCATGCTAGCAATTCCGGGCAGTGTTGGACTTCCGCAGTATTTTTCCAGTGACAGATCTGTTTTTATTGCTTGTAATTATAAACCATTATAAAGTAAGTAGAATTGGTGAAGGTTCTTCCGTGAGAAGCATGAAAGTTGGAAATTCTTGTTTCTAACACAAGTGAGTATAATGTGCTCTAGGTAGGTCGCATTGTGACAGCTGTTTGTTTTCTTTTGTTTCAAAAGAAACTAGCTCATCCGCATCCACCAACAATGAGCAAGAGGACAAACAAGGTTTTGTTGCTGTCCCTTCAGAGTTCCCTTTAAATATGGATGAGGACTAAAGGAAGGAAGCGTCTTAGACATTCTAAAAAACCCTGGTGAGATAATGAACTCCTTTTAAAAAATACGCTAGCATTTTTTATTTCAAACAAACAAACAACAAACTTATGGTTAAGAAAGTATTTTCTATAAATATGAACATAGGAGAGCATTACATTAAGCGCTGCGTTTGTTAGGGTACATCTGCCCCTTCTATTCTAAGTGAAGTTGTCTTTGTTGCTGGAAGTAAAACTGCAAGTTGAAAACCAGATGGGTTGCATCTCCTTTTGTTGCGAAGCACGGCCGAAAGCACGACAGACACCAGCAGAGTCAGATCATGCTGCTCCATTTTATTGCCCGAATAGCCTAACTTTTATAGAGAACTTTACAGGGGCGGACAGTGTTTCACACAAGATTATTGGTCAAAAGCACTCAGACAAAAAACTATAAGAAAACAACCCCACCTGCAAGAAAAGAACCCCCCTTTTGATTAGCAGTCAGGAAAACAACCCCCTTTGTGATTAGCGGTCATGTAGACCTAGTCCTTGAGGCCAGCTGCTGGTAACAGTATTTTCTGAGTTCCTTAATTGGGCGATGTGGGAGTCACTGCCCTAGGAGCTTCTCACAGTTACTCTGGCAGCTTGGCTTGCTCAGCTACAGCAGGCCCTGAGATTCCTAAGGCCTACCCCTGGTTGCTTAAAGCAAGCTCAGATCGAACAATTGTTCCACGGGCACATGTCCACGTCCTGTATGCCAATTCCCAACATCCTTTATGTGTTAGGATGTAACTGTAAATGAGGTACTAAGAGAACTAGCTAGATGGTCAATGTTTCATTTTAAGTAAATACAATTTGTGGAATTGAAAAGGAAATGTTTGTAAAACTCGACGCTCCTGTCCCACCTTCAGCCCAGGTGCAGAAAGAATAGTAAAGAGTTTGGGTTCTAAAGATATTGCAAAAGCTGCAAATCTGTGACATTCACTTTATCAGTTTAAAAGAAGCAGAATCTAAATCCACATTGTTCAAAAACTTCACTTCTGATTTAAAAACAAAACAGCAAAAAAAAAAAAAGCAAACAAAAAACCACAAAACAACTACGTTCAATGTACGTTCATGAGCAACTTGAGCTGCTATTCAAGATGCGTTTCCTTTAGTGTTTCTGTATTAGTAGCTTGTCTTTTCTGTTAAAATTGCCACCTTTGAATCAGGAGTTGTCCTGTGTGCGATGCATTTTGAACAAATATTGTAGAAAATTAGACAGTTGTTCAATTGTCCTCGAGTTTTTATTATTTAATTAATATTCAGCATTTGGCTATTACTGTCATTTTGGACAGTGCTCTGTTGGAGAAGAGCATTTCTGTTCTAAAGCAGGAGGCAACATTTGCAGAATTATGCTAGGTAAACAGAAACAAGTGTCATTTTTTTACTGTTTAACAGAACACACAAGCTAACCTCGTGTACATATTGGAATTGTTTATATGAAGTCCTCTTTTGTCAGTATCCTGAATCAGAGTTCATCAAATTTTGTATCTGTTCTTTAACTATTCAGAGACCTAAATTGCCCTAAATAAATGATAGAACTGAGCCAGTAGAGTAAGAAACCCTCTCAGGAAGTGCTAAACTTTAAACTCCCCGTTGCCCTAAGCTCATGAAAAGCAAAGAATAGTATTCTACACCTGTTCTAGTAATAAACTCCTTTGGCTTTCTCCCTGCATTCCCAGATTTTGGGAATTAGTTGTCTAAGAACAAGAACTCCCCAGCGTATAAAACCACTTGTTGTCCCTTCTACTTCATATAGGCCCAAACCTGAAAGTATTTACGAATGCATTCAGCTTTGCTACTGTTGAGAAACAAGGCTGGTCACAATGGCAGCTAAGCCCAAGTGACACTGTCTGGCTAGACATAAGAGGTGGATTCCCCCAGCCATCCTGAAACAGGTTGATGAATCCAGGGAGTCAAAACATAGCACTTCTGCATTTTGGTTTTGTAGACTGCATCCTGTGTACAGCCATTACAGCAAGGGCCACAGACTTTACAAAGGCAGAACTACAAGAATCTGATTATTTAGAATAACTGTATCAATGCACAACTCATTGGTTACCTTTTAGAAATTCCTATGCTCAGCCGGATTCGTTTTCCCCCCAGACCTGGTGCATTCTGGCAGTCTTGCAGTGCCCTCATCTGATCACCTTGCTCACCAAATCTGACGTAGGCATACCCTCTACAATTTTCAAAAGGGAGAAAACAAATTCTAGTATGCATAACAGTTACAAAACTAATGAATTCAATTTCTGTCTTCTACAAAAAAACAAGATAGCAGCTACTAGAGCTTCCATTACTTAAGCAACCTCTCCGGCATGTGCACATGCACAGAAAAGGCTTTCACCAAATTAAAAAACTTGGGCCAGAAGCAAAAAGCTTGTTCCTTGGTAGCATTAAGATGCAACTCGCTAAGAGCCAGCAAAACAATACATTTTAAGTGCTATCTGCGTAAGTAATCAGATTCCATATTTCTGCATATACAGCAGTTAATCAGTTAGCATTAACCCACTCCTACCACTGCATAACACTAGCATTCTTTTTTATCTGCTTTCTCAGAAGGTTCTTGAATTAGTCTGTTACAGGCAGCATTGTCTGAACAGCAAACTCGCTCATTCCTGCTTGACTCACTGCATGGCCAGTAGTTTCTGCTAGACTTTATTTACTACTAACATTAGGTTCCATCCCCCAACCCCCTAAGATTTGCCAGGGCTTATGTTTTTCCCCAAACAAAGTAGGAATTATTTTGTCTTCAGTATTGCAGATGACTAAGTAGACACACAGCAGCGCTGATTTCAGTGCACAGCTCTTCCTCCTCCCACAGCTTCTAGTTCTTCTTTTTTTTTTTTTCCCCCATGTAGATATGCATATGGGTAAGTTGAAGCTTATCACAGTAACTGCCTGAACTAACTGGAAAGCTCTTAAAACACTCAAGGATCTGTGCTATTAAGAAAAGCAGTGCTAAAGACTAATCTCACTCTTCGTGCCCCAGAAAAAAAAGCACTGGAACAGCTCCGACGCAAGCTCTTACATATCGCTTATAAAAGCGAACACACTGATAACGTTACACATTTGCACTGGAATTACCTGGAATATCCCAGCAGGTCTGTTGCTATTTTGCAGTCAATACATGAGGGATACCTCTTTAGGAAATAGTCACAGAGCTGGAAATCACCCACTTCTGGGGTAAGCTCCCCAACAAATATTGAATAATCTGGTCTTTAAAAAGAGAGAGAGAAAGAACAATTTTAAGGTTCAAGACTAAGATAGCTGATTCCCATTATATTCACAGTTAGTTATCATCAGACTAAAAAAGAGAAATCTGTTAGGAGTACTAAGTACAGAACTCTACTGAGTTGCGTAGAAAATTGCAATGCCACCACTCTAATCTAAAGTTTTCCATTACTCTGGGTCTATTCTACTGTTTCAGCAACAAGGACCCATTTTCTGACAACTTGCAACAGTTTGTTTCAAGAAGAAGCATAGTTTATTGTCTGAACAAGAAAGCAGCATAAAAATACCGAGAAAAATGATCAACTTAAACCACAGCCACGATTCAAAGGAGCTATGACTAGTAGCAGTAGAAATACTGCTTCCCAGTGATCATGGGAGACAGCAACTGCAAATAAACCATTATTTATAGACACGTATTGCCAATGCAACATTTACCAACCACACCAGCCATTTTGGAATTTGAAAAGTGAGTGATGGCATTCGCTACCAATTCAAACAGGTAAGGCAGAGTTTCTCATTTCAAAAGGTTTTTACCTGGCTGAACTACTACTACTAACAAACTCTATTCTTCCTGGGTTTATTTTGTTCCTTTTCTTTTGTTTTTTCTGTGGTGTTCTCCACCAGCTGTAGGCCTGGAGGCATTCTCGTTTTTTCCCAAGCAAGTCCTGTTGGGATAAAAAAACACCTCTATAGTATTTAGCCTCATTTACATTCCTCCCTCCGACTCCCCATCACCACAGGTGATTTCCCCATATTCACCTTGCCCTTGAAAGAAGCCTGGGGTCCCATTTCTCCCTCCGCCTCCCATGAGGGAAAGCAGCCTCTGGGGAAAACGCCTGGCAAAAATAACAGAGCCAAAGGATTGTATGAACAGCCATATTCCCCTGACTTGTCAAGCTGGCTAAAGGATTGACAGCTTCCTCTTGGAATTCGGAAAAAAAGCAGTTAGCCCTTCGATGCTGGTCAATCCTATGCGTTAATTAGCTTAGGACTGGATTGTGCTCCATTTGAGCTCTTGGACTCTCAAAAAAAAAAGTCTTCAGTAGCACAGTGAGTGATGAACAGGCAGGAAATCATCACTCCTGCTCAGAAGAAATCTCATCTGTCCCTGTCTCCCCTTTCCTAGGAATTCTTCTTCCTTATGTGAGATGCCTCTCCTCACTACCTAGCTGCCAGTCACTCTCTCAGGCCAGGAATGACGACAGGAGGCCCATTAATGGAACGCAAGGAGAAAGCAGACCAGGAACAGGCACTAACTTGGCTGAGGGGAAAACTCAAAACCCAGATGCAAGGCCAGGAACTAAGAGGCATAAAAAAAAAGTGCCTCCAAAAACAAAACAAAAACAAAAAACAAAACACCCCAAAAGCCACAGTTAAAAAGGAAGTGTGATAACTACAGAAAAGAGGAGAGAAACAGCCATAACAACACAGGTTGCCTCCCTCATTTAGTATTCTGAAGAACAAGGATTTCCAAAAATATGATTGGCGTTTTTCAGTAGCTTTTACTTACGCAGGCTTTAGTGTTCTTCCTCTAGAACACCTCTACATAACTTACCTAGAGAGTGTTACTCACAAGATCCTTCAGAAGAACTCATGCTCAAATAATCCAAACTGCAAAGCTTAACGTTTTGCCCCCAACCTGCTTCGGTTGTTATGATCAAGCATCCAGAGGACAACCACCAATTACCAAATTAGCAGAGGAAATCACAGGACTAGAACACCCAACTCAGAGTGAGCCAGCCATTTCAGCTTTACATTTACTAGGAATTCTGAGTATGGTTCTGGGATCCATTTAGACACTACAAACCTGAATTTCTCACCACAGGATCTTACCTGGTTTGCCATGGTTGAAAGAATCTGTCTTCTGTCTTTCTCAAGGAATGCAGCTGCAAACGCTCAGTTTATTGCAGTCCGTCAGCTAGAAAAAATGTGAGGGAGGGGCAAGAATAATCTTAACTTTGAGGTCAGTTTCTTAGATGCTCACCCTGTCCAACGCTTTTAATATTATTAATTCACAACTCGGGAGTTTCATTTCTGATGTGTCTCAATTGTTTTAGCCATGACAAGAAGGATACATAGCCAAGGGGACTACGATTAGAAGTCTTCTTCATTTTCTTAAACTGTAGTAGTCCACAAAGTTTTCGCGTTGTCCAAGACACTAAGAAATTGTGAGCTTTTAAGTGACCTACACCTTATCCTTATTTCTAAAAGAACATGCAATATTGTAATTTAATAGTTCCATGTTCTGAAGTAATTAAAAGCGAGGCAACAAAGATAGAAGCTTTCATGTTTTCTACAACTCCTCAAGTCCGCCCCCCCACACACTTAGAGACAAATTAGAAGTTGTATCTGCTTGTGGTACCAGTTACACAGCTGAAAACAAGCAGTTGTACTTCCTACCTGTTAAAGGAGCAGAGATGTTAAGAGACATCTGGTTAATAGAGTATTTTCTATAAATACGAACATAGGAGAGCATTACATTAAGTGCTGCGTTTGTTAGGGTGCATCTGCCCCTTCTATTCTAAGTGAAGTTGTCTTTGTTGCTGGAAGTAAAACTGCAAGTTGAAAACCAGATGGGTTACATCTCCTTTTGTTGCGAAGCACGGCCGAAAGCACGACAGACACCAGTTGAGTCAGATCATGCTGCTCCATTTTATTGCCCGAATAGCCTAACTTTTATAGTGAACTTTACAGGGGCGGACAGTGTTTCACACAAGATTATTGGTCAAAGCACTCAGACGAAAAACTATAAGAAAACAACCCCACCTGCAAGAAAAGAACTGGTGATCTCACACAACTGTAACAAGCTAGGAGCAAATACAGTGAATTTATCTAAGTAACATGGACATCTGATAGCATTTGCAGCAATACCTTGCCAGGCCTTATCCCCACAAATCAGAAAAACATCAGGAGGTAAGGCCAAAGCTGTACAATTGTTCCAAACACTGTAGTTGTTACGCCTTGTCTCCATACTATGAACCCCTAAACCCTGCTTTGCAGTGTCATTGTAATCACAGGTGTTATTTGTATTTTTGTACCGGTATGGCCCTTTCCCAGTTCCTGTAGCAGGAATCATCTGATATCCACGGCTACATTCACATTTGTAGCCACCTTTCAGGTTGATACAGATTTGACTACAGATACCAGGGTTTTGACATTCTGTCCTGGTTTTCAGTTAGCACAGAATTAATTTTCTTCCTAGTAGCTGGTGGAATGCTGTGTTTTGGCTTAGGATGAGAAGAGTGCTGATAACACCCCGATGCTTTAATTGTTGCAGAGCAGTGCTTATACTAAGCCAAGGACATCTCAGCCTTTTGCTCTGTCCTGCCAACGGACAGGCTGGGGGTGCAGTAAGAGCTGGGAGGGGACAGACCCAGGACAGGTGACCCAAACTAGCCAAAGGGGTATTCCATACCATCTGACGTCATGCTAAACAATATATAGGGGTGGCTAGCCGGGGGAAGGGGGCCGGACTGCTCGGGGTTAGGCTGGGCATCATCGGTCAGCGGGTGGTGAGCAATTGCATTGTGCATCACTTGTTTGTACATACTATTACTTTCGTATTATCACCATTGTATCATTATTATTATTATTGTTATTATTATTTTTGTTATTATTATTTTCCTGTCTTATTAAACTGTCTTTATCTCAACTCACGGGCTTTCACTCTCCATTTCTTCTCTCCCCCCGTCCCAGAGAGGGAGGGGGGAGGGTGAGCGAACGGCTGCGTGGTGTTTAGCTGCCGGCCGGGTTAAACACGACAGCCTTTTTGGCGCCCAACGTGGGGCCCGAAAGGTTGAGATAACAGCAGATCTGATCAGAGTGTGTTAAACTAAAATTGGTGTAAGGATTAGACCTGCTTAATAGTCACTTGTCATGATGCTGATTGCTTTAATCTCAACTCTGCTGCGCCTGTTTTCCAAATTGAGTATTATAGTACATTATTTTCCGTATTTTCTCTCTGTAGTGTTGTTTATCCTCTCTGGGCCCTGGTTTCAGATCATTATGGTACTGAGTGTTATAGCAATGGCTTATGAGACGATAAGATATCTGGTCATGACTCTAACTTGGTATTCATACTCAGTAATATCGTGGACTCTGTACTTTGGAAACAGTATCTTGGGAACTATTAGCAATTATACCTATTGTTTTTCTCCATTAGAGAGTCAATCTGTGGAGGGAAAAGGGGAAGATAATTTTCTTACTTGATTACTCTCCCTTTCTCCTTCACCACCCCTGTATCCTCCTGGATCACTCTGCCTTCCTCCTTCACCACCCTCTTATCCCCTGAGCTTGTCAAAATAGCTCTCCAAGATATTGAATATTATTGGGATACTCAGAATACCATAGTCTTGTTGTTCTGCCTCATGAATGCACTTCAGGTTCTGCTTAAAGTTAAACAACTACTTGGGAAGCTCATCCGGAGATCTGCCCGGAGGCAGGATAGTTGTGGGTGGCAGGGAGTATGGGTGGATATGGGCAGGCATCTAGAGCAGTTGGCACCCCGAGTGTGTTGGAAATTCACCCCTGAGCAATGGCAAAATCCTCAAAAACTGGCAGAATGCTTGAAAAAAAGGTGTCATGATTCTGGCAGTTCCAAAGTAACACAAATCATTGTAACGTGCTGGGGCCTGGCTCATGCCTATCGAGCTGCCATTGATACTGCTATCAACTTAGTGACAGACCCTGCGGCCACTCCAAGCCCTGTGACAGATCCAACGGCCACTGTGACCCCTACGGTGGACTCGGCAGCCGCTCCAGATCCGGCTCCTGCAGCCGCTCCAGCTCCGGTTCCTGCAGCCGCTCCAGTTCCAGCTCCTGCAGCCGCTCCAGTTACAGCTCCTGCAGCCGCTCCAGCTCCGGTTCCTGCAGCCGCTCCAGTTCCAGCTCCTGCAGCCACTCCAGCTCCAGTTCCAGCAGCTGCTCCAGTTACAGCTCCTGAAGCCACTCCAGCTCCGGTTCCTGCAGCCGCTTCAGCTCCGGTTCCTGCAGCCGCTCCAGCTCCGGTTCCTGCAGCCGCTCCAGTTCCAGCTCCTGCAGCCGCTCCAGTTCCAGCTCCTGCAGCCACTCCAGCTCCAGTTCCTGCAGCCGCTCCAATTACAGCTCCTGAAGCCGCTCCAGCTCCGGTTCCTGCAGCCGCTCCAATTACAGCTCCTGAAGCCGCTCCAGCTCCAGCTCCTGCCGCTACTCCAATCCCAGCTCCTGCAGCCGCTCCAGCTCCAGCTCCTGCAACCGCTCCAGCTCCAGCTCCTGCCGCTACTCCAATCCCAGCTCCTGCAGCCGCTCCAGCTCCAGCTCCTGCAACCGTTCCAGCTCCAGCTCCTGCCGCTACTCCAGTCCCAGCTCCTGCAACTGCTCCAGCTCCAGCTCCTGCAGCCGCTCCAGCTCCTGTGGCCGTGTCAGAGAAACAATCTGTAGCAGTGCAAGTTGACCCTGCAGAGGGTATTCCAATCCCTGTAACAAAGTCAGAGAAACGAGCAGTAGCAGTGCAAGCTGCCCCTGCAGAGGGTATTCCAACCCCTGTAACGGGGTCAGAGAAACGAGCAGTAGCAGTGCAAGCTGCCCCTGTAGAGAAGGTGAAAATATGGTATAGAAATTCAGGTCGTTTAGAACGCAGAGAGTCTTCTGCCAATCCAGGTAAGGCTTCTGCCAAAACTAGGTATAAAGATGATGAAGATGACGACGACGCTGGGCCATCAAGGATTCAGGAGGAGGAAGATGAGGATGCTGAAAAAGCAACAGTAACTACCCGAAGCCTAAACGAGCACGAGCTACGAGATGTGCGAAAAGATTTTGGTCGCTGTATAGGTGAGCAGCTTGTCACCTGGCTGCTCCGGTGCTGGGACTCTGGAGCCAATTGTGTGGAATTAGACGGCAGGGAAGCCAGACGGTTGGGATCCCTTGCTCGAGACGCCGGCATTGACAAAGCAATTGCAGATGGAGCACAACCCACCAGCCTCTGGAGGCGTCTCCTCTCAGCTGTGAGGGAAAGGTATCCCTTCAAGGAAGAACTTTTATGTCTACCAGGCAAGTGGACCACTATGGAGAAGGGAATCCAGTACCTGAGGGAATTAGCCGTACAGGAAGTGATTTATGAGGATCCAGACCTCAGACAAACATCCAAAGACCCAGATGAAGTCAAGTGTACACGACCCATGTGGCGGAAGTTTGTACGGAGTGCACCATCATCATATGCCAGCTCATTGGCAATAATGGCCTGGAAAGAGGATGAGGAACCCACAGTGGATGAAGCAGCTAAACAACTCCGGCAGTACGAAGAAAGTCTCTCCTCTTCCTTACAGGCCTGCGTCTCAGCTGTGGAGAAACTTTCTGAAGAGGTCCACCAACTTAAAGAGAATCTATCTTCCCCCCAACCTGAACCAACCAGTGTCCAACGACCGAAAGAGAACACCTGGGAGAAAACACTTTCTGAAAAGTTTCACCAACTTGAAGAGAAATTATTCTCCTCCGTACCTGTACAAAGCAGTGTCTCAGCTGTCAGGGGCAGGCGTTCACCCACACAAGGAAGACGATATGGTGGGTACTCACCCCATGCCACCCTGTGGTTTTACTTACGAGACCATGGAGAGGACATGAGAAAATGGGATGGAAAATCTACCGCGACCCTAGAGGCACGGGTACGTGAGTTGCAAAAGAAAACAATCAGGAAAAAGGGATTCTCTGAAAAGTTTGCTGCTCCAACTTCCAGCAGACAGTCCTTCAAACACAGAACCGAGGAAGATTCTGACCAGGATTAGGGGGGCCCTGCCTCCAGCCAGGGGGAGGAAAGGGACAATCAAATTTATTGGACTGTGTGGATTCGATGGCCTGGCACATCACGCGCACAGAGGTATAAGGCTTTAGTAGACACCGGTGCACAATGTACTATAATGCCATCGAGCTATAAAGGACCAGAGCCCATCTATATTTGTGGAGTGACAGGAGGATCTCAGCAGTTGACTGTATTGGA